ATGCCAAAAGCTAGGGTGTTTTTCCTTTCTTTTCTGCCTAACTTAGCTCCTTGTCTGGAAATTAAGCAACAAGACTCTACATACAGAATAACATTTTGACTTCCTAAGGAAATACCACTGAAACACTTAGTACTGTTTGATATCTCTCTTGGGAAAGCAAAACACATTTATTAAATCATGCATGCTAACTCCAAAAGCCAACAGAAGAAAACAACTGCTTTATTCTTTGCACTGAGGTTTTGTACAAACAGGTACTGTCACGGATTGCTATACACTGATCCTTCTTTGCTTATGCAGCTTACAGGATGTTCGGGTAATAACACCAATACTGTATGTTGCAATCTATCCTTCAGGTTCCAGTTCTATCACATACTTGCACAAATTACAAAAAAAAAAAAAAAAAAAAAAAAAAGCTCTGATTTCAAATAACTTTCAAATTTCCCTAGGTAATTATATGCTAATTTCCAGAATACACTTCACCTAATTTTAGTATTGCATGATGATGAAACAGATGATCTTTAGAAACACTTTTGTGCAACCAGAGAGGTTTGGTTTTGTTTATCTTATTTCTATAGAACAACAGAATGGATTACGTGGCTGGGCTTTGAGAGATCTGAACATGCAATCAGCATACCTGGCTTCAGCTGCCAGCTTCATACTCTTGATCTTACTCATTTTCCAAAGTGGAATATGAAAGGCCATATCACTGCTGGCACATATTATCCATCATGCTTCACAGCATTTTTTAGTTTTTCTCTTTTAAAATTTTCAAGTGCTTGAAAAGTCAAAAGAGAAGTCACAGCATGACTTGCCTTAGCTATGGCAACCCTCTGGACTCCCGGCAATCCTCAGATGTGTGCACTGACTGCCGTCAACAAACCATCTCATCTCTAAGGACTCACATGGAGTAGCCAAGGAGGAGGAATAGGATTATGAAAGATTTATGGCCACCAGGAATTTCAGATTCCAGAGGGATCAATCTCTCCCACTTCCAGACACCTATGTACCCAACCACACGGTTCTCTAAATTCAACCTTTTTTCCCAGATCCTACAAGAAGATGGAGACAGACACCAAGCCACAGGAACCGCTAGCACAGATCAGCTGGACTGTGGGGCCAGAGAACCTATAGTGCCAGATTAAATATGTGATTTTCAACTGCCTAAGAAGTTTGCTTCAACACTTCATATGATGAGTAGGAAGGTGCAAAAAATCTCTTTTTCTTCTGCGGAGAGTGGAAGGAGGACATTAATGTTCAAATGTGTAACGACATTCTTCACAGCGATGTGAACTAATGCATTACTTCAATTAAAAAATTCGTGCAGTACTTGGGTTTTGGTACTTTTTTTTTTTTTCAGTTTCAGTATTGTCTCTTACAGCATTTTTTAAAAATAAATTATTTAGAATATTCCAGTACTAAACTCCATCATTACTGAGATTATTGTAATATCACAAAAAGGAGGTAGGTAGGACCTGATGGCAAAAGTATACCAGCTGGACTAGAAGCAGGAAAAGAAGTGGCACATTTACTCCCCACTTCCTTAGACACAGTTTTAAGATTCAGTTTCACACCTGTAACTTCCTAGAGGACATTATATTATCTGAGGAATTATAGTCAGTGATCCCTAGAGTTAAGAGTTCAGATTTTAAGTTGGTAGCATGAATTTTGGATTCAGATACAGAATTCTTGAAAATTTCGATCATCACAGGTGCATACACACAAAGATACCACAGAAGTGACATTCTAGGCATTACTAAAGAAGCAAATCCAGAATTATTTCATACTGACTTCAACAGATACAGATGGGGATTGAAATGAATATGACAAGACAACCTCCACACTTTTTTACTATACTAATGGCCTCTACATAATGACACACTTCCAAAAAATCTGGCAATAAAGTTTCAGGAATTAACACCGATCAATTACATTTTTAATTCAAAACAAACAGCAGAAGAGAATATTCCCCTCATCTGTCAGACTATGGAATAAGGAGGAAGGGACACAACTTAATGTGAAATATTTAGTGGCGTTTTATCTTATGTTTGCCAAAGGAAGTTAATGTGTAACACTGAGGTAAAAATACAACAATGTCTCTAGCTGTTTTTTAAAGTAAAACTGCAACCCTTCAAGTCTTTGTTACAGTAAAAAGAAAAAAAAAAAAACAAACATAAAATCAAAGGAAGCAAAAGGTCCTCGGCTCTGTATAACTATATTTCTGATTTGACAGCTACAATTATAATAATTCAGACATCAATTTCCAACAAACTCTCCACAGCCATAACCTTTAGTGATTAATTATAAAGTTCCAGGAGCAATAGTACACAGACTAATTTCCTAAAACAATAAAAGACAGAATTTCTCATTTGGAGCTAAATGAAACACGAACAGGTTGTTACTCATGCTGAAATCTAGATGCAGAGTCATGTTGCAGCCATTACAGAAAGCTATTAAACACAACCTCAAATCAAAGAAACTGTAGGTCTCTCTCCTAAAATAAAATGTTTTTCTCACTTATGAGGCTTCTGACTCCTTTGCTCTGTTCCTTTTTACCTCTCCTTAGTAAAAAAAATTTCAAAATTCAATTTTCTTTCTCATTTCACATCCCCATTTTGTTTTTAATAGTCATTTAAACTGTAAGAGTCTAGAGCAAAACAAACAGTTGGTAAAGCTTTCATGCACAGAGAATTATCACGGTGTTCTCTTCACAATGAAGCAAAGTTACAAACTGCGTATCAACTTCTAAACAAAATGCCCACTCTCTTCACGTCCCACCTCAGTCTCCAATGAGTTTTCCACAGTGAGCATTTGGTAATTCCTCAGTTATTTCATACAGTGAAACGTACAGTTAAGTTTTACATTCCTTTCATTTTGGTTTTCATTTTTGACACGTCCTGCTGTACCTGCTCAGTGTAAATCATTAAAAAACGATCCTCCAATAAAGAGAGAAGCCACGCATTACTAAAATAATCCTAATGCTGCCATTGCAGATACTGAAGAGGGGAAATTGTGATTTTTAATACAATCAGTAGTAGTTCTTTTTGTTAAGCACTTACTTCTCTGTCTGAAAGCAACATTGGCACTTGATCCAGTAAATCTGATCTTAGCAATTTTACTGAACCAGGCAATGAAAAGGGGAAAGAACTGAGAAGAGATCTTTACATAACTGACACCATACCTTTATCCTCGGGCCCCACTATAACTTCAGCTAAAGTCAGTGGGAATTTTTCCAAATATTTAAATTGGTATTGAGTCAGTTGTAGAACTCATTGAATTGCTAAACCACAGAGAACTTTCATTTAATATGCATACTCTTGACGTATTGTCGAAAGGCTGGTATGATAGTCCCCCATAAAACTTGTCAACGAGGTACCTAAAATAATAATATTAATTACTGTACTCTAGTTTCTCCCCATATGAAGCATACCAGTTTTGCCGGATCAGGTAACACATGAAACCATGAACATTTAAATTAGGAAGCTTTTGTACAGCAGCTTTTAAAACCCCTAATACTAACCCTACATCTTTTATGTATGAAGCTTCCTTGCTTTTCTGTAGGAATTCTATCTTCTGTCATGTTTCTTAGCATTCAGAGAAACTTCATAATTAATTTTGAACTATATACAGACTATAAGAGTTACACAAACTAAATATGCTTTTTCAGTGCTTTTCTTGTGAATTCAATACACACTAATTGATTAGGGTCTGGGAGGTGAATAAGAAATACATATCCTACACAACAGAAAGCTGGGAAAGGGTTTAATGCATGAATTAGAAGCCAGATTTCTTCAATACAGATGAGTACACAAAATTAGCAAAAGGCAATACCACTTTTGGAAAGACTGCTTTGTGCATAATTTGTCATGAATTCAAAGTTATTCCTTTAGAAAATGAGTCTAAGACCTCCCAGCTGCTGCTTTATTGGTCTAATAAATTACCATTTTGATGGTACAATGCATAAACACTATACCCCATCCAAGCAAGCAAACTGTTAGAGCGGCTTCGTCTTTAGAGATGCATGTGTGACTTCAGAGACGTGTGAATGCCGAGGGGAGATCTGAATGCAATGAGGGATTAGACAATGCCTCTCTTCTTGAATTGATAATGAAAACAAAGGATGCATAGGTTTCCAAAGTGGTAAGACTGCACTGTATGATTGTGTCAAAAAATGTGAGTTCAAGTGAAACTGCTCTTATTGTAGTAAGTATCTAGCAGCTTTCTCAGACAAATTATTCTAGGTTCTCCACATTATCCAAGTAAAAGTCTCTCCTATTGATCTGAAAAAGACCTTAGAATAATCAAAGAAGATATTCTCTTCAAAGGATCCATTTCCAACTTAAACCATGAATCCTATTCTTGTGGAGCTGGGACTTGCGGAGTTTAGTTCAAGTCTACACCAATGCTTATAGTAGTACAGACTGAACATGTGTTTAGCATCAGTGTTGTCTACCCAAGGTTATTCCAGCCAGGTAGGCCATAACAAACATTTGTCATAACTCTCCTTCATAGCTGTGGTTTGCAAATATCCATTCAAGGGAAGAACAAAATGCAGAAAAGCCAGAAAATCGTTGATCTAGCATTCCCTACTTTACCTTTCTCTAGTGAACTGTGCAACTCATTATGAGTTCCAACAACCTGAAGTTTTGGAAACCTTCCATCATTTCCAGGAAAACTCTAGATTCACTCTATTATTGCCAGTAGAGAAGCCTTTTGTTAATACAAATACATTTAGGGAACAGTTTAAAATATCTGTGTTCTAACACAATGAATCTTTCATCAGTATTTCAAAAAAAAAAGAAAAAAAAGAAAAAAAAAAAAGATGGCTGTTAGGAGGGAAGCTGGAGGAGTACTGGAGGAATAGGTGCAGTAGTTTTGATTTGACATTGGCAGAGCACAGCTTACAAAATAAAAGAGCACAATAATTTGAGATAGATTTCTGGCTGTTTCCCATGCACAAAACCAGGCTCTCCCTTACAGCTCACACCCACAGCATTACTTACCTGCATTAGAATTGAGCTCCTCATTTTCTGATTCTGTTCCATTTTGACTTCCACTTCCATGAAGGCTATTCATTGCCATAAGTTTCATTTTCTGTAACTTCATAGCCTCTGCCATGGCAGCTGCTGTCAGACCTGGTAAAATAAATAAAAATAATATCATGCCGTACCATACAGCACTGAGAAATAAGAACAAAATTCCTTTCAGTGAGAATAAGCCACACACATTCAAGACACATTCTTAGTCCAGTTATGTAATGTTATTCTGAACACTACCTTTATTTTGAAGTCAAGTTATTTCAGTACACCATTCTAAGGAGATTTAAGTCATTCATGTTTTTGGTTTTTTTTTTTTTAAAGTATAGCATAAAGAACAATTTATTTAATTATATCCTTTTTGATTATATTTTTAAATATAATTTCCCATCACTTTGATTATTTTGTCACTTTGAACACTTTCTGGTTGACTTATTTAGCTAAATGCTAGATAATTTCCAAGTACACTAGTAAGATACAGTATTCCTTAATTTCAACAGTTCAAAGCCAATTAACATGGAACAATCAATGTTGTACATACTATTATATTATATATCCAAATACTATTTTGTGTTTTTCTAAAGTTTGTTAGTTTGGATTAACATTATTACTACTGGAAAACATTACATGGGAAATGTTAGAAGAGTACAATATTGGTATTACAAACTTGATCCCACCTTTAAGAAGCCATTAAGACCAGCACAAACTCACAGAATTAAGGGGGGCTAGGGGCAGAAGATTTTCAAGTGACTAAAATCCAATTAATTTCCAATAGTAAAAGAGAAGAAATAGAGTAGCACCAAGCTACAGGCTACCATCATTACCATAATTTTGTTATTATTATTTAGATTCCAAATACCTTTTTGTTCTTAAGAGTAAACTTTTAAAGTTTTATCCTTTTGACTTGGTCAGTAAGTCAGACATCAGATTTTCTTCCACAAAGTATGAAAATACTTTAACTCTGGGCAAGATGTGACTGAAAATATCTTGTCGGAAGTTCATCTATCTTGCAGGAAAATACAGGGAAGAAGGCCATGTAACCAAAAGATCTCTACAGGTATAACTGTGTATTCATCCAGTTATGGATTAAATGAATTTACTCCCAGTACAGTATGACTTGCTTTTGACATTTGCTAAAAAGCAAAGCTAAGTATTTCCTATTGGCTGTCTTGTAACTGACTGTGCAATAGTTTCACATTCACTGAATTGCGTTTACCAAAAAAAACCCCATGATTTTTTGTCAGTGGTGCATGCTGTATCAATTGACAAAGATACTGCACATCAAAACAGAATTAAATAATTTGCTGTTTCTGGAAAGTACTGCTTACTGAGAGATTAGATGCTGATTAAAGTGAACTAATAATTTTCACATCCTATACTGCCACACATCCATAAATTAAAATACTTTCTTTTAAAAGCTGCTATGAATTTGACATTTAGATTATCTCTGCTGCTTTTCTAATAGGCTTTCTAAACGTTCTCATTATTTTAATATGACTTAAGTAAGCAAGCAATCCATAGACTCCAACTGCATGGGGGAGGGAGAAGTATTATCAGATATGGATAGAGCAATTTGGTTAACTTCAGCAAAGATATTCCTGAGTAGTATCAGTAAGTTGGAGATGGCAGGTTATGAGATGGGAGTTACACAAGCCCTCTTTTCAGGCCTCCTCCTTCCATCTCGCCTAAGAATGTCCCAACACTCAGAAAACCAAGCTGCAGTTACACACTCCTGTATTTCCACAGCACCGATGCCATATCTAAAATATATCACCTACACTAATTAGGCACTTGGTTTACTGTTTTCTCATTCATATATGAAATACTATATTGATTTCATTATTAATATACATCAAGTACAAACATATAACCAGAAAACAGCCTCAATAATCTCATCTTTTAGGTCAATTCATACAGAAGATACCAACAGTACTCACTTTATATTTAAAAATACTTTTTTTCCCTAATACCCTTTAAAGTTCTTTTGCAAATGCTACAGGTTTTTTATCAAGCAGATATAAAATCCCGATGTTTAAACTCCTGTTTTTACAAATTCTCTGGCTGACATCACTCATACTTAATCCATCGAAGAATGTATCTTCAGTGATAAAACTGTTCACACAATTTCTGAAGATTAAATAATCTATAAACTTTTCCACTTTTTTTCTAGCAAAAGGAAGTGGGACTGTTCTCTAAGTGAATTTCACATCATTTTCAGTAAGTTAAAAAAGACAGGCATCAACACAAGTCTTCTGAGGAATTTACTCTTCATGTTTTCCACGCACCTGTGTGATTTGCCTTCCTACCTGCAGACCTGCACTTTTCCTCCTCATCCCAACCAATTCCAAGTTTTAAGGTACAGCCATCACTAAAGCATTTTGAGAACTTGTACCCACTCACAGCCTACTCTGTTTTCACTTTTTCTTCAAATCCATATGCATTCACATTTAATTTGAAGGTTACAAAGAACATAAGAGTCTGAACATGGAGGTTTTTTATATCATTTTGTCACTCTGATGTACCCAAATATGTACAGATGAACCAATATTCCAGTAAATATTTTCATCTGGGTCAGTATTTATACAGGTTCTTGATACAGCAAGTCATAAAACTTTACTTAGTATAAATATACACAAGAGTAAAGAAACTATTCATAAGGAGATAAACAGAAAATGGAAACTAAATTCAGACCTTTAGTAAAACATTCAGATAAAAGACAAGACAAAATATTACCCAGGGCACTGTATAAAAACAAAACACACACCCCCACACACCCCCCCACCTAAAACTTCTACTGAACAGTTGTACCAGAAGCGTAACGAAAGCAGAAAGGGTACCAAGAAACAAACAAAAGAATAAACACAGTCCCAAAATCATCATGATGCTGCCTGCAGAAATTAAAGGTAATTATTGTCAGGCATTTCTGAGCTCCCTAACCAGACACAGCTGCCATAAGGACAACAGCCAAAAAACAGTGATGTATCAGAAATCTATGCTGTGCCATCTGCCACACCAAAGTCACTCTACTGCAGCATTAAAAGTTTAAAGCACAGTCCTAATGCAGAAAGCCCTACAGCCTGAAGATCCTGAGCAGTCAGGCATAAACTTGAAGCAGATATAGCCTACACTATCTCTAAGCTTGGAATCAGCGAAGTCTTAATATTCTCATTTACTTATTCCCCAGTCTATGTAATTTCTTACTTGAACTGTGATAGCAGTAAAAGCCCCAGAATCTGCCTGTATGAGGCACTTAAAACCAGTGTACTAATCCTTCTGCATTTCTGAAAGCTAATAAAATTAAGGTTAAAGCAAACGGTTTCAGCAGTAAGGGTGTGCTACTGATTGAAATGATGGAAGAAAACGTACAGCAAATCACCCATTGGCATAATCTTCAATTAAGGCTACTGCTGCAGCTAACATTACTGAAGCTACTATTTAATTTAACTATTAATAAAACTCCTTTCTGTAATTGACTCAGCTCCGGCTAGCTGTGGCAAAGAGGGCTATTCTTCAACTGACTTATCTAAAGATCTACAAAGAACCAAAGAATCATTTCCATCCTCTCAGATGAATCATTATCAGCAGCAGAATCTCACTTAGAGTACCTCACTTTGAAAAATGTACTTGAAAACTGCTGTAACATATACATCTATCCCTCTACTTTCACTTAAAAAAAAAAAAAAAGATCACTAGGAAATCCGACATGCTGGATTACATACTTCAAAGCTCCTGTTTTTTTCTCGCCATTTACACTTTAAATTTCTCTTCCTTCAGTTATCTTCTGCCAGCTGTGATCAATCACTAAACACCCAGGAAATAAACTATGTACTGCTTATTATCAAACATTTACAACCTTAACAACAACAACAGAAAAGCATGAGTCTCATCACAGTTGCAATGATTTGTTTTCAAAACTGCCAGCAACTTATGTGGCTGGCAGAATTGGTCCTGCTAACAGTAGCCCCCAAGCCACCAGTTGGCTGAAAGACGGTGGCTCCTTGAAGAGCTGGTAGGGATCTTCAAGAGGGACACATCAGCGCTAATGCGGAAATCTCGGAGCCGTCTTCTGGGTCAGTTCTCTCTATATGAATCTTGATTACAATTGCATAACAGATTGCGATGGTGCGCGCTCAGGTACACCTGCATTGTGCATATGGCGAAACAACCAACTGCCATTAGTAATCTTCATTCCGTAATTTCGGTTTTGTCAGGACACTGTGTACTCTCCCTTTGACAAGTCTGCATAACTCTGCTGTACAACACACAAATTTAGCCTGAAAATAACCCTTCAAGGACACACAGACCAGCACACTTCATGCTCACGTTGCACTGAAGTAAAATTCTGCAACTGTATTCTGAGCCACAGTTAAAACATACCTAAACACCAAAGTTTTCAAATTAAGGTTTTTGGTCTGAATTAGGGCCATACTCCGCTTACTCAACGTGGTGTGCTTGCACTGCTCTGGGGAAGACCCACTGCCTGGGGGTGCTGGAGATGGAACAGACAGGAACGTACCGTGAGGCCTGGCTGCTCCCGTGAGGGCTGGACCCATTGAATGTGTCCTCTGCTCCCAAAGCCAAGGTACCTGCAAGTACCTGAGAGGGTGTGAAGGCCAGAGAGGTTTCTCCAACCCTTGTCCGCATCCTATTGAAGTTAGTGGTTAATTGTTTACTCAAATATCCCCTACGCAGACAAAGATTATTCCTCTGTGAAGTCTCAGGAATTATTTCAACAAAAAGAATCATTTCCACGGCATGGCCCACAGATCACAACCCCAAGGTCGTTTGTAGCGTATCCCCCCCCCTCAGGGCTGGTCCCCCATTCCGAGGCAGCGCTGAACTCACCCGCTCCCCTGAGCACCAGGCGACAAGGGGACAGTGTCTCTTGCCTCGAGTAAACATTGTCATTTACTCCTTAGCAAATACCTTCCTGGAGACGTAAGAAACCAAAACTCAATTTCATTCCTGCACAGAGGAACCCAGGGTGTCTTGTGTGCAAGTGATTCCTCCACGTTTAACTAATGTCCAGTCATTGAAAATTAGATTTTGATGGTGAATACAAGGACTCTGAGCATTTTAAGGTGACCCTGACTATCTGC